TGGATCCACATCCAGTGTCTGGCAACCATGTGGCCATCTCTCACACCCAGAATCACACAACTGATTACTGGATTTTCTACGTGATTATTTATTTTTATGAAACTTTTTACTCCACTACATTTATTCACAGCTCTAGTTACCAGTTAACCTATGGTGATCTTATAAAACAAGATGCATTATTATCAAACTAGCCAGTAGTATGTAGAATTAGAAACAATTAGTTGATTAGTCGATTAGTCGGTTGACTGAAAATTAACCCGCAACTATTTTGATAACTGATTAATCCTTTTAATTAATTTTTCATGCAAAAATGCCAAACATCTCATAGTTTCAGCTTCTTAAATGTGAGGCTTCGCTCCTTTTTCTTGTTTAAAATTATAGTAAAACTGAATAATTTTTGGACTATTGGTTAGACTAGACAAGCAATTTAAATGTTATGTTAAACATTAATGCAACAGGACGAAAAATTTAATTATAATATAATATAATAAATATATATATATATATATATATAATAGTATAACACTCGGGGGCATCTTTTGATTCTTTAACCATATTTTGCTGATAATATTTCCGTTTATTTAGTCTTTATTGGATGTTTTTTCTATTTTTAATTAAGAAAATAATCTTAGCACCAATTTTGATAATCGATTAATAGACTACGATTGGATTTTTTAACCCTTGAGGTCTTTATATTCACACCAAGTGATCTCTTATATCTATTGTCTTATCCAAGACCTGACATTCTAGTTGATTTGCATCCTTTGTGTTGCTTTGAGTCTACATAATCCAGTCCATTATATATAATGAAGTAACTGAATGAAACTTTGTATTCCTTCCCTTTAAATGCGATATGGGTGGTATTGATTGACCTCTTGATCTTCTGACCTCCCCACTGTTGCTGCAACACTGAGGCTTTGCAGCCAGAAACACATTTTTCACCCTCCTCCGCCTCAGTTCTAAGAAATTATGCTGAAATAACACACAAGCTGCTTAATCTGATATTCATTCCTTTCTTATATAGCCCTGCTTTCCAAAGTTGACTAAGGCCACATTATTTAGGCATTAAGGTAGTGTGATAAGGGAATTAGGCTGGTCATTAATCGTTTACACGTCAAATGCAGCAGAGCAGCTCGGGGAGGTGATTTAGCGAGGCAAAGCCATATAGCCCTTGTTAATCCACCTCTCACACGTTTTAATTGGAAGAGGCTTCCTGGATAGGAAATTTATGAATGGGTTTAAGGCCATTTCTTCCTTAAAGCCATCATTTATTTCTTATTGTTAATAGGAGCTTTAACTCTTTATCCACATGGAGATATATATTTCTCATCTTTCATTCAGCTATTGTCTTTTTGCACTTGCTGTTTAATTGCCACAGTGTTTTTGTAAACCCTGCGCCGCTCATAAAGATTCCCTTCTGCTTCTTCTTTCATCCATCAAACACCTCAGAAATAATGAAATAGAAGAGACACACAAATGTGACACTGTTATGAAGATCGACTTGGTTTATGGCTTATACAGCAGCAATGCAGATTTTTCTCTTTTTTCTTTTTGTTGGATTGAGGCCCCATGTTTGGGTCTCCACTTGAATCTCCATGACGACCCAAACATGAATGAACAGAAAACGGTGCTATTGACTTAACCCTCCTAGTGGCCTTAAGCTGCTGCTGCTGCAGTGCCAGCATTGTGCATGATGATTTTTTTTGCCCTCAAATCTTCCAAAGGTCAGAGTATTAATCCTCTGAATAAACCTTGTTTTTAACAGGGCTGTGCCCAGGCCACACAAGAGAGACACAAGGAACAGAAACATGGTTGTGATGGACACTTATTTGTATATTAATATGTGATGGAGTGGGCAGAATTGGTTTTTAGGAGCCAGATAAACAAAGAATGCAGGAGGTTTCCTGTCTCCTGCTTTTATTCCAGCTTTGTACTTTCATTCTTATTTTTCACCAGCCTCTGATGTGAAAGGATTTGGCACTAAGATGCACGCAAGGGGAGGGGGAAAAAATCCTGAAAAGTGGATCAAAAAAGTAAATGAAAAATAATGTCATATTACTGAAAATATGAGAGGCTAATTTGTGCCGACTTTTTGCTAATTTTGTTCTCGCCACAGAAAGAGGAGCCGTCACCTGCTCGGCGCCACAGCGCTGACAGTGCCAGTGATCCATGAAATAAGCTGCCGCTGGCTTTGTTCAGATAAGAATGAACAAATCTGCACAATGTACTGCTCTCGGAATCTCATTTTCATACTTGCATGCAGGCTAAAAGAAATAAGCTGTTTGCAGGCTTGATTAATCAGACATTTGAGGGTTTTTTTTTGTCTCTTTGATCTGCTCTGTCTCCTAGGTAACTTGGTTGACATTAATGTTGAGCCCCAGTAAAGACAATCAGGGATTGTAGACTAAACTGATAAAAAAAAAGGAAAAAAAATTAAAGACCTTTAATGCTTTAAATGTAGTAAACGCTATGTTGTGAATTTAAAAGAGGGGGGAAATGAGGGGCATGGAAGTGGGTTTTAATTTTGCTTTTGGAATGTTTGGGAAGGCGTGTTTTCAAGACCTTTTGAATTTTAAATGCAACCCCACAGGAGAGCAGGTTAATGTGGGTAATCCTGGTGTAGAAAAAAAGGAAAATCTCTGCCTGTAAATCTCCAAATGAAACCATTTAGCATCATGCAGTTTCATTTGATTTGCTCCCAGAATGAGCCAATGAGTGTTTTTTTTTCTTTCTTTCTGCAAACACAGAGAGCAGGAGCCGTTCTCAGATTTGTCAACAATTTAATAAACGTCTTGTGTATAATCTCAGCGTGCATCGCAGACACTGCACAGCATTCAGCACCTACACCACTCCAACGAGAGGCGGGGAAAACCCTGGAGTGGTTTTATCTGCTCGCAAAATCTACAGCAAATGTAAGAGCAATCACCCGTTATAACTCTCTTTAAGAGGAGAAAACATGATTTGAGGAATTTAAAACCTATAAAATGGCAAAGAACTGGAGAACTGTCATAGTATGTACGCTTCAGGCTGTGCAGACGCTTTCACAAATCTTCCAGTGACTGTATAGATGAATGCCTTGAGGGCCCAGCCGGAGCCCAGTACTTGCAGCCAGCCGAAGCCCTTATCTTAAATCCAAGCAAAGTACCATTAATCTTTTTGAAAGACCTTTATGGCTTTTAATGTATCCCAAATTAGAACATTTTACACCCTTGGTTCCTGAAATATGGTGATAAAAAGCCTTTAGAGTTTAATTTTTCCTGCCTGCTCGCTCTGACCTGCTTAATCCCAGCATGCATTAGGAGATATTTTAGTTTCAGTCTTTCTAATAAAGTTTATCCCACTTAATTATAATTGAAACATTTTTTTCCAGCAGGTCTTTTTTTTTTTTCAAGTGGCGCAGTGGTGGCACATTTCTTCATTACCTTAAGACTTTCTTTCCCCCCTGATTGTACTGTGAATATTACAGAGAATTACCCAAAGGTTTGGTGAAATTGTTCCAAGTTGTTTATCAAAGTTTGCCTTTGCTTGAATAATAAACCTATCTCAGGAGTGACAAGAGGAGGCAGGATTTTTCTCTTTGTTTCCCGTGCTTCTGTGTGACTGGGGTTATTGGGATTATTCTGCTTCACAATACATACGTCTTCCCTGGGATTTGAATGTTTGCTTCTTGCAGTCACGGTCATTCTCTTCACTTCTGATTTCAGGGACTGCCTGCAGTACTCCAAACAGAAAAAGTCTCTTTTACACTGGTGATGAGTGAAAAATGCCATTGCAATGTTTTCGAGACGAGAGGAAAAAAAATTGCAAAATGCTGAACATCGCTTCTCATTGTTTATTTATTCAGTTGTTTCATTTGCACATTAAACAAGAAAAAAAAGAAGTAATCAAAAAAGAAACAATGTGCGGGAGTGACTATAAGCCAGGAGCTTAAAAATATGACTTCTACTTAAAACACCTCAAACAAAAGGCAAAATAGATTAGAATAATTTTAATAAAACAATGTTCCTGTAATTTATGGAGCTGTGGGGCACTTCACCGCCCACACAAAACACACAAACATATACACTCTACCTTTATTTTTACTGGCTACTGCTCCAGAGCTGTTTACAATATTTTGGGTGCTGCAGATAAAACGGCTTGTAGGGTTGAAGGAAAACACAAGAAGCGCTTAAGAAATCTCAATCTCAACTATAATTGTTAATTTATCTGCCAATTATTTTCAATGAATCGTTTGGTTTCTGAAATATCAGATAATAGAGCGTTAGTTGACATTTTGATTGGCCAACAGTCCAAAGCCCCCAAAATATTTAAGTTACTATGAAAGAAGACTAAGAACACCAGCAAATATTCAAAATGAGAAGATGGATTCACTGAATATTTGGCGTTTTTCTTAATTTAACGACTAAAATTAATAGATTATCAACATTTTCTCTTGATTAACTAAGTGAGTTTCAGATTTAATGTCCGTTTCAGAAGCAAGGAACTTAATTTTGATATAGAAAGAATTTAAAACCACCAGATGTCTCAAGGAGAAGAATTGATTATCGGTAGAATTGCAGTTGGAGAGCCAACTAGGCTTAATATATGTATTCAATACATCATATGTTCGTTACACATGTAAAACCTCCTGATTTTTACTCTTCAAACATATTATTATTAGTTTTATTATTATATTTTCACATTGCCGCTTCATCTTGTTGTACGATGTTTAAACTTACGATATACATGATGTATGCCTGAGTTACTTTCTGTCACATACTGTACGTTATACTCAATCACCAGTCACCAAATGTCTTGTGAAAGGTGTTAAATTCTTGGAGTGCAGGCCAGTATTCATGTGTTGGTTCAGCTCTATAACGGCTCTGTTGTGGTGTGGAGGAGGCAGCAGCACATGGAAGCAGAGACACTGATGAGAAGCCGCCGTCAGTCAGAAATCTTTTTCATGCCACAGACTGATTTCCATTCTCTAATGATCCTCTCCTCTGTCTGCCTCTAAATAGCTGGCTGTGAATATCGCTCAAGCTGCTGATTGCCGTGACTTTGTGCAACGCAAACAGGAAGAGGAAGCTTTGAGGGAAGCGCAGAAGAGGAGGAAGGACATCGCCTGGGGGTACAATGTTTCTCTCCGTCCTCGTGTTTATTTGTTTGTCATCCTATCTGCCATGTGTGACACTCTCTGGGTTCAAGTACAGTTAAGATGGAGCTAATGAAACCTGCAGAGATTGAAGTTGACAGCTACATTGTGTTCATAAACGGTTCAGTAACTAAATGTTTCTTTTTCTGTGTTGCAGGTTTGAGGCTAAGAGACGATGGGAAACCAAAAGCAACATGGGCTTCATGTGACAAACGCAGAGGGAAAGGAGGACTGTGATTTATTTATTTATTTAAAGTTAATTTGATAAAAGTAGTGTTTTTTTTATGGCGGACTGATCCTGTTTCTTTTTATCCTCTTTGTATATTTTGAAGACTTCACAACAGTAGAGTGTGAGGGGGGGAAAAGTCGCATAGTTGGCTGAGGAAAAACCAATCCTGAGAGTACGAGAGAGAGAAAAAAAATTATGGAGCATTCAAATTAATTCCTAAGGCGCCCATTGGTGTCTGCATTGTGTTATTTTTCATTACATTTCAGTGATTTGAGCGTTCTGGCCTTTTTTTTCCCCCCCTTCAAATTAAATCTGGTGTACATTACTGGATGATGCGTTTATTTATTGCTGTAAAGTGGGTTAATCATGAAGGCGCTCCTTTCTTCTTCCTAGGAAGAGAAAGGAAAGATTAGGGCCCTAATGCAATGTACAGGATAATGTGCGATAGGATTTGGGAGTAGAAAATGAAATTTGGCTGGTGTAAACAGTTGTGAGCAGTTGTAAACTGGAAGTTGAGTGAACGTTTTGTGGAGGGGAGGGGGGGTGAGACATGAAACAGAGGCTTTGCTGTTGGCCCTCACCCATTCTGGGAGACGTGCTATTGTATCTAAGCCCGAACAAGAGGCACGCGCACAAGCCTACACTCGCCACTCATTGTGTGATGAGCTCTCTTCAGCATCTGTAAACTCGTCTAAAACCGTCGATTCCTCTCTCTGTTACTTTGATCTTTTTTGATCTGCAGCGTTTGCCTCCGCAGCTACTCACGCTTCTGAAATGCTCATACAGATTCCAGGAAGTGTTAATTGCAAACAGCATGCAGAAAAAGCACAAGAATGATAATTACTTTTATTCATAATGCGTGCTTGTATATATATATATTTTTTTTTTCCAACCATAGAAAATGATTGCTTTGCTTCAAGGTAATGAGAATTAAAATTAATCCACCTAAGTTGTTTGCACTGCACATATTTGGGCACTTTGTCCCCTGGTGAGCAGCAGTATTCTTATAGCTTTGCTGTGTAGGCTGAATCTGTACGAGGAAAAAATTAGCTAAACATCAGAAATAAAAGTTTGTAGGCAATTATGATACAAAACACCTGAGCTGAGGAGACCTAGATACGACACCGGTATAAAGATGCAGTTTGAAAAATCAAGCTTTTTGGATTTTACATTCAAGTGAATCACATGACCTGAGTGTCTGCAAAGTTGTCAGTTGGTGAGTATTGGTGCTAATTAAACTATTAATTGTCTCTGTAATGAGACGCGAGTTAAAACTGTGTTAAGCACATCAAAGTACGACGTGGGATTTCTTCGCTTTGATGAAAATATGTCTTGACTGAGGAGTGAGGAAACATCAGAGATGCTTCATTAACGGGACAAAAAAGTAGCCAAACTTTAGGGCCTTCGAAGGTTTTGGATAACTCAATAAGGGTTTAATAGTCTTTGATTTTATTTACAGAGAATCGCTGAATGTAGGTGTATTTCTTAAACACACTTCTCAGAAATAAGACCTTTTCAAGAGGGTTGTGTTTTGATATCTGATCTGAATATGTGGTTTCCATATGCATCATATTTTTAAGCTAGTACTTGTCAGTGAACATGGCCAGCGCTGATCCAACAGCAGTGCCGTATCAATAGCATCTCACTTTATTAATCTCTTGGAACACAGGATAATGCCTTGAGCAGAGATGATTCTGCTTTTAAGCTGGAAAATCCACTTCCCCCTCTCGTCCTGTTGAGGAGATGTTTTCAATAGTCTGTTACTGGAGGCCAATCTTAGCCCCTGACCTAGGCTGATTTGTGTTGAAACGCTGAGACAAGTTCCTTGGGCACATGTCGAACCACTTCTAGGAAAAGTGTTTGTTGTGCGGAGCGTGGGTGAAGGAAAAAACAACAACAACAATCCCATTAAATGGTTGGAAAGCTGCTGTTGTATGAAAGGGAACATATGTTGCTGGTAACGACACATCAGCGCTATCACTTGCTGCTATCGCCGGGTAGAAGAGGATTAACTCAAAGGAGAGATCTCTGAGATGCAGCCGATAAAGGCAACAATGTTCACAACACCTCACGCAAAGTGTAGATCCGACATGGTAACGTTGCTTTGTTTGTGTGTTGTTCAAGGTGTTTGATAACCGCTGCAATGTTGTGTTTTATTGTGTTACTACAACTTGTTACACTTGCTCTCATTCAATTTTACCTGTGTAAATAAAGGTTTAATCAATATTAAATATATTAAATGTTTCACCTGCATTAGGGTACTGTAGATATTTAAGGGGGATGTGTCATTTTAACAGCAAATTTCACCTCACGTTTCTCTACGGTGGCCCTGAGGGGCAAAGAAACGAAGCAAAACACAGAAAATACGACAACAATTACAGGAAAACACATTACACCAATTCATTTCATGTTACAAACATCATTAGCAAATTGTGAAACATTGTTGTCGAATGTTGTGCTTTGTACCTCTGGGCCACTGTAGAAAAACCCCAAAATGTAACTTTTCACATGTGATATGTAAATTCTGAGCATGTTTCAGAGGTGTATTTGTTCGCTTCTTCTCAAAGTAACATATTGTGGGAGCGACACAGGCAGTGTGGATGTTGACATATTCCTTAGCTGATTTAATGACCTGTTTAATTCTGGCACGTCTGTAGCCCTCTCAGATGTTTTGCAGTTTTAATTAGTGTAATCATCGCTCTTGAAAAAGGCCACAGGGTTGTTTAATGGGTCATGTTTGTCAAGATGCACAGAATTATAACACAAAAGACATGCCATTTATTCAGCGCTACAGTCTTCCAGTGATTATGGGTGTCACAATTGATAATTAGAGAAAGAATTGATTTATCTGAAAGCCAGAATGAACCTCTGCGGTGTGAGGAAATTAGTTTGACAGTGTTTGGATGAGCGGTGTTTACACTGCAGCGTGGCAGTGTGGGAGCACTTTACCACTCCGGTCTTAGAGTCAGGAGACTTTTGATGTGACATCTGGAGCAGCAACTGGATATTTTCAGTAATGACAAAACTTCTCATGAAATTATGAATATAGTGTTTCATTCTGCAGGCCGCTGTCACATGATAAGCAGAGGTTATGGTTCCAATTTTCAGGCAGCAAAGTACAAAGTGCTTTACACACTTTCCTCAAACTGAATTAGGTCAAGCTAACATTTACAATTTGATAAAGACTGTTTAAATGCACTTTCTCCATAATTAAAACCCATACTGTGTATGTGGGTTACTTATACACCCTCTTAATTGTTTCTTAGTTTGAAACTGCTTGGAAAGCATCTATTTTATCATTTAGCATAACTTATAGAACAAAAAATTGAAAATGAACTTCCAATTAATTTCTTCTTTTGCTATCGCGAAATAAAAACATTCCCAAGCACAAATATGCTGAGCATGCACTCATTATGCAAACCACATACTGCATTTTATCTGAATGAATTATTAACCAAGTTAATGAATATTTCATTTTTCTTTATGGAACCATTTAACAGTACCAACAGAGGTAATGACATCTTAAGCAGTGCCAAGTACCTGAACAGAGAGGAGAGGATTTCATTTATTTGGCCAACCAGGTTAAGTTGAGCAACATATGGGGATATATTGAGATGTTAAAGCTTTGATTTGTCGTCTGTATTTAACAATGAATGTGTTAATTTGAAGTTATAGAGTATAAACACGCCTTTACTGTACAACCTGCACTGACCTGGCTTTAATTCCACACACAAGGACCTGAAATCCCATTGTATCTCGAGAATGGACACAGCATGATCTACAGCAGCCGGGGGGGATTTACACTGAGCAAATGAATTTAATGGTGTAATTAACATTACCTTGATTTGTCCCAGGAAAGACCTCAGTAAGTCTGGCTTGTGTGGTAATTTATTGCTGAGTTCCTATGAAGAACACTCACCTACTGTAGAGCAGGTAATTACAAACACTGGCTTGATTAGAAGAGGGAAGAAACTGCTACAGGCTTGTTATTGATCAATTAATACTGGTAATACTGTAGTTACACTGCAACAAAACAGTGGCAGTTCAAGGTACACTGAAGTAACCTTTATATGCATAAATCATTGCAAAAATGTAATCCGATACAAATACTAATTACCTGTTAAAAAATGTAGTCAGTAACTTAATTTAGGTATCACAATACTAAAGTAACGTAAGTTTATTATTTTCCATTACTTTTGGATTACCTCAACACTAAATATGCAAATAAAAACCAGAAAAGAAATGTCAATAATAAGTACTGATGAAAGTGTAGAAGATTTTTAGCATCACAAATGTGTCTGTAATAAATTACAGTTTTACCTTTTTTTTGTATCCTGATTATGTAACTTTACATGTAATCTGTTACTTCCCCAGGCCTGGTCATTTTCCATTGGTCAAGTTGGTCAAAAATGGATTTTATTTATTTTGTTAGTAATTTTAAACATTTTAAAAGAAAAGACACATTTGTGTTTTAAACAAACTACCTGTTTCTGGCTGTGATCATTGAATGCTGAATTACTGTATTTTAAACAGCGGTTTACTTTATGGTCACGTTTACTTTTCAATGGAGCTTGTTCCTTTTCTTACCCAACCGGGTTGATAATAGGAGGCAGCCTTCCAGTTATTTCCTCATGTGTAGGCTGACATACTCAGTAAAGTGACACTGTGATACTTTAGTGCTATTCTGGGTTGTTTTCATCAGGTTCAGGTTTTTATTGTGAAGTTTACATTTCAAAGATAATACATAAATAAATAAAAACAAGGTGTTTCTTTTCCATATTAAGGTCAGAAAGGACAAAATACAAAAAATAATGTATTGTAGGCTATATATAAATAGCACAAATACATACAAAATGTCTTAAAGAGAATGTATTTAATGGCTTATTAAGATATACAAATATACAGTTATATTAGTATTCAAATATGCCATCTATCAGTCAATACATGGATTTATGAAAGCTATACCAATCATTAAATTATCAAACTAGAAAAAGTTATTGTAAGAGTTTTTCTAAAATATGGTACTTGGTGACTAAGCTAAGCAGCTAAGCTACAA